GACAGAGATCTTAGTTTTAAATCTTTTCAAAATCAATACACACACTTAATACATTCACTTAGGTCTTAAGGACTTAGTGGTGAACTTAAGTTGAAATCCACTTGTTAAAAGAGGATTAGAAAAATCAACATAATCAAACTCTTTTAAAACACCACAAGTCCAATTAGGACTAAAATTTGGCTAAGTGTTCTTAATAACACTAATTTGTCTCCTAAAAGGGTCGCTTACAAATCTAGAACATTAAAGTGTCGCTTTAATCAACTTTAATATGCCCATAATAAAATTTAAAGAACTTTAACCATAGGGTCACCTGATTTGACATTATAACCAAATGACCTAAAAAACTTGAACTCTGCTACAACGAGGAGCTTGGAGCTAGCACTCTGGGCAGCCCGACCATCTTCTGCAGTAAGAGGATCTACAACAACACATCACTTCCTTAGCTTTAAACAACAAAGCCATAGGATATCAAAGTTGTTCGCCTAGTGCAACATAAATCTTCAAATATATTTTTAGGCCTTTGTACAACCATATTGTATAATATAAGCCCTAAACTCGCCTTAGGTTTCCGAAGTTGTCGTTCGTCACCACTTAAATCCTCACATCTTCAAGGTTATTTGTACTGATTGTTTAACACAAATGTAAATCCTAATAAATAAAAAATTGCAGGATGAAACATTTAAATGATTTCTCTTAAATTGAAGCCAAATAATAGGATAGAATGGGAAGTCACCGAAGTTCTTCTTCGGATCCGTGATATCCTCTAGTGTTTCCTCCTTTGGACTCCAAAACAAAATGTTCCAAATTTGAACCAATCCCCCTTCACACTTCTTAGTCCGATATCTTTGAAATGTCCTTACCATTTGAACTCCTTGAAGGTAATTTTTCTTGACTTTTATCGAGAGTATTCTTAGGTAACTTCAGTTATCTATGATGTAATTAACTATAGGAGTTTTCCCTTATAGGAAGCTTTTCCCGGACCCAGCATAATATAAACCCTATTTAATTCCTTATATTAAATAGGGGAACTTGTCGGCCAATACATTGGTTTCGCAGACCAAACGGATGTCATAACTTTCTTAAGTTTATTTGATCGAGCCTCACTCTCAACTCTTGTGTTCATCCTTCAGGATAGATACAGGATTTGAGGTAAAGTGCTCATTCATCTAAACAATGAAAATTATGGAGTCAGTTTGACTTCATCTTTTTCAAAACTAAAATTTTCTAAAAAACGTCCTTCCGAAGCGGGCAACGGGATTTCAATTCCGATGACCGACGGTTTCTTACGGGCAAACCCCACTCCAAAAATAGTGCCGACAGGTCTATAAAAAATAAACATCAAATTAAGTTTTGCAGAGATGACAATGCTTAGGTGGACAAGTAGTTTTGGACATAGAGATTTGACAGGAGATACCCATAAAAGGGTTGTGTAACGCCAGTGGCACATCAGATTAAAGAGTCATTTTAGATGATTTGGTCATATTAATTGACCCTTTAATGTTCTAGTTAGGTGAAGATATTTTAGATTTGACTTGAGAAAAGTAGAGGTAGCCACAAAGAATTGGGTATGATGTATAAAAAATCATCTTAATTTATTAGAATTAAATCAAAATATGGCATTCAATAGGAGATATATCTGGAAAAAAATGATTCATGTAACCAACCCCACTTAGCGGCATAAACGCTTGTTGTTGTTGTTCTTGTAGTTATTAAATATTTTTAAAAACTGCCTTTAATTGAAAGCCTAAAGTCGTCTTAAAATAGTGCATATCATATAATAAAAAAATCAACATAATATTCATCAATTCATCACATTCTAATCACATAAGATGAATTACAACAATTTATTCGGTAATTTAGTTAGGCAGTTACACTGAGATTTAAGGTTGGTCTTCTCAAGAACATAAAAAATCAAAAAAAAAACCCAAATTTAAAGTAGTTTCACTCTCCATTAGAACCTTTAGCACGAACTCGCCACTAGCAAAGAATTGGTCTGACTGATTAGACTTCAAATATTTCTGAGTGTCTATAACTTGAGCATTAAATGAAGAAAAGAAACTTCTTGTTGGAGAGATGTAGTTGTATCAGCGAAGTAGATATCAAAGCTGGATAATTATTTTAAAACTCTATCTTATCTTTTTTTTATGGATGAGTTCCAAGTTGTCCAAAGTGCCTTATTTATTTTCACTTAAGTGGCCCTTGAAGCCGTGGTTTTTATATACCGGGCACAATCCCTCAACATGAAAGCAGATTGTAATCAAGTCAAGCCGAGCAGAGCCAAGCCGAGTATATCATTACTCGAACTTGGCTTAATATAATTATAGGTTTTCCATGCTCGACTTAAGCTTGTGTCGAACTTTCATACATTGTTCAAACTTGATTTATTTGACTTCTTCAACTTTTGAAATTGATTGGTACTTAGATCTGTTTATGACAAGTGAAGGAGTATTGACACTAGCTAATACATGAACTAAAAATTTAAACAAAAATCTAAATTTTCATATAAAAATTTTAAAAAATAATTTCACAATTCCATTCTCAGCTAATAATTTGTCGGTTATGAACTTTAAAATTTTTGAACTTTATTAATTTGCTACATAATTCTTATTGATAAGACTACACCCGTTCAAATTTTGTAAATGGAAGAACTAAATTGATCTTTAAAGTTAGTGATGAGCATTTAATTAATCAGATTAATAAAAAAATAATAATAATAAATAATAATAATTATAGCATGATGGTAAAAAAAAATAAACTCATTATATTCAAATATATGAAAACTCAACAAAAAAAAAATTTATAGTTCTTTAACAATAAATATCTCCTTCAAAACTATCACTTATTAATAAAATTAATATATAATTAATAATTAAAGTAAAAAAAATATTGATACAATAATATTTTACTAGTAAATTTATAATTAAATAAATGCTAACAAATTAAATTTTATTTAAATAATAAATCATATATACAGTACTAGTTATTATCAAATTGAATATCAAGTATTTAGAAAATTACTTATTCAACGACAAATGAGTTAGCTCTTGAACTTCAAAAAATAAGTTCAACCATGCGAGCTTCTAAAAATTGTTCAACTTAGTTATTTACCAAGTTGAACGGACATAATCGAGTCTTAGTAAGTGGAATTCAAATTGTTCATTTACAGGCCTACGTGAAAGTTTGTCTTCTCAACATCAACTATAGGGTCAATTAGCGGTCATTTTTGTTTCATCAATAGCACAACAGGTCTCTTGCCAGCTTCAACCCTAGGTGCTTCTGCATCCAATTGTCAGCAGAAGGTTGGGCAATTTCGACAGCCACTTTCTCTACAGCAGGAGAAAACACGAATTCTGAGAGTGGAAGCTTGAATCACTTCAAATCTTCCTCCCTCTGCAGCAACTCCTAAATCAGTTAATTCCATTAATAAATAATTTGCCACTAAAAAGGTCACTCATGGTGAACAAAACTGTAAAAATAACCTTTTAATCTTCTCTCATTACATGCAACGCATACAGAAAAATAAATACTAACCTTTAATGCCAAAATAAATCTTCGCAGGAATAGAGGGACCACTCATTGATTTGATCTCTGGAGGCAGATCTAAAAGATCTATCTGCCAGAGCCGTTGTTAAAGTGAGATAAGTGAATTAAATGATGATAAAAAATATGAAAAATCAAATTATTTTACGTGTTTATCATAACATTATGTTATTTTAGCATTAATTTTCTCAAAAAAAAAATGAAATAACGAGCAAGAATGTCAGATGCAGCGCCTCAATACTGTTCATTCAATGCCACATCACCATATCCCATAAGAAAAAATACAAGAAACAAAGAGTCTTGTTGCTTCTTTGCTATGCCTATAGCGCAGCACCGCAATGCCCAACACCTCAGTGCTGGATGTAGAGCGCCTCAGCACTAACCAAGAGGAATATTTGCTCAAAAACAGCTCAACCCATAGCACTATAACTTGAAAAAAAATATTAGGTGAGGGCTCCGGATGGATGCATCCGGAGTACAATAGTTGGGTGCCACGTGTCAAGTGCGCCCCACAACTTTTAAAACTGACCAATCCCAATATATTGCGATGGGCCCACTTGACACGTGGCGCCCCATCATTGGACTTCGGACGAAATTACGTCCGGAGTTTGGATGTAATATTTGCTATCAAGACTGAGAACAATGTATCTCAACGTCACAGTTGAAACGTTAAAGCGTGAGAAGTTATTTCATGTCAAATTGATAGAGAGCTTAGCGTCGCAGTGCTATAGCTAAGTGTCTCAAGACTATATCTGGTGCCATAACTAGGTAATTTTATAACAACCTTGAAGAGGATTTGGAGAGTTTTGGTGTGGTTTTAGGATGGATGTCGAGTCAATGTGAGGAGAGTATGCTTAGTAGGATAAGAGACATGTTTTCTGTGGAGTGTAGAAAGTGTGCGAGTAAGAACATGGGAGAGGAGCTCAAGACGAAATGAGAAAAAAAAAATAAATAAATAAATTTCAAGCGTTTTTTAGTTCATAAAATATATTTTTTTCAGTGCTTGTGTATGTTTTTTAGTGCAAGTATGAACTAAATTGTAAGTACTGTACCTGTGGTTTATATATATTATTTCATATTCAATTTGTGTTGTTTATGCTAAATGGATAGTATTTGTTTAATTTGCCATACATCTTCAGTTAGTTTGCGTGTTGTTCATAACTCACTTAATATTTAGTGTAATCTATTGGTATTGGAAGGGCAGGAGAAAAATAATAAGAAGTAAAATGACAATTCATTGAATATGATAGATATTTAGGATTTACAATTGATGAAAAAATGATTTAATTTCAATAATTTTTTCTTGTTCAAATATACAAATAATGAATTTGAGAGGTCTTCTAAGTTATTGACAAGGACTGGAGCATATAATTATTCTTGGTTGTCAACTTCATGATTTCAACTTAAAACGACGACATGAATTTAGTAAATTTAACTCATAAATTCATGGTGTTTCCTCCAATAAACAAATCAAGTTCAGTAAATGTTTTTTTTTAGATTTTAAGTTAAATTTAAACTCACAATCATTAAGTCACTTTTATATTACACGTTCAGTTGTGTATAATATTTAATCTGTTCAACCATGGACAAAGAACCAAGATTTTGAGCCTCCATTTTTTGTCTTTTCCTACTCAATTTTGACGTTTTCTTCTTTGTTCTCTTTTTAGAAAAATTCTCTTTCAAGTTTCATAAAATGTTCAGTAATCTAGGTCTCTAAAGAAAAATTGATATTGTCTTCTAAAGCCTCCATTAATTTGCCAGGATGAAGTTTAATAGAACATAGCATGAAGAAAATTAATATGTATAAACCTAAGTCGCGGATATGAACATAGACATATCGCAACAATCGACGACCATTAAAATAATTATTAATTATATTATTTAAACAAATTAACTCTCTTATTCTTTTTTTTAAATTATTATTCACACAGGACTTGCTCAAGATTGTACATAAGTCAACCCAAAGGGCAGCTTGGCAAATTAGACAAATTGACTAGTTAACATGACGGGAAAATTATCTAATGGTTTATCAAACGTAGCTAGAAAATGATTCCTAGCCCAGTGTCCTATTAGGTTACAAAAACTATATAATTCTTTTTTATAGCCTAATATATAATATAATTAGTGTCAACCCAAATTAATAAATAGAAGATTAATGATGAGACTCAGGATTCACAATCTTAGCTACACATTTTTGTAATTATTCCTTTGAGCAATAAAATCTTAAAATCTCTCTCTTTTCCAACTCACTCCAAAATAGGTGATGTGAAGTCATGGACAACTCAGGATCCAACAAAATCCAATCAACAAAAGCTTAGTAACATTATTAAAGATTTTCCCAAAACAAATGACAACATGATAAGTTATCAAAAGCACTTAATCAACACCAATTCCATGAATTTATCAGCGATTACCTAAAAGTGCACCATTTGGGGGAAATTTTGTAAAGTTGGGAGGAATATAGGTTAATGGCCTAATGAGAATTATATTTAAACTAAATCACTCAATCTAACCATGTAATTTAACATAAATAACAATCAACTAAGCATTGTTTATCTTTTAATATTTATAAATAACAACCAAGCAAGCATGATCCTTTGAACATTTCTAGCAGTGGGGGTGGATGGACCAGGCCACAAATGATTTTCACATCAAAACATAATCTTTTTTTAGAAAAAGTATGAAAAATTTAAGAACAAGAGCCGTGGGAGTTAAATAAAATTAAAACTAAAAGACAAAGTAATCAATATGTAAGTATGACATTATATGCTCAATTGTCTTTCTATTAATCACGGTCACATGCCTAAGAACAAAGAAGCAGAAAATAAAATGTTTATTGTAAGGAAGACTTTCTTCACCCATATTTTAATCTGCCCAAACTCCCTTAACGGCGCTCAACCTGGAGCCGCCTGTCTATTGAGCAGTTCTGGACATAACCAGGCAGCTCGAAATGCAACGGAAGAATCCAATTGGTCAGAACTCATGAGCTAGAAACAGAAAAATAAACTAGAGACATGAGAACAGAAAAAGACATCACTGTTAATGTGACCTTCAGCCCACGGGGATCATTGTGATGATGTGACCCCACCAATTTATGCAAGGAAAAACACAGATAATGACGGACGTAATGATAAAGGAGATGAAAATGGCAGCACTGCACATGATAGCAGAGGTAAAAAAGGACCTGGCAGCAGCTGACTTCAGTTCCCATGCAGTTTTCTCCTTGCAGAATAGTGGAGAGAAAATCCCAACCAACTCCTCTCTAACATATGGGAGGGAGTCTAGATTCTGCCTTGTTGAGTTGGCCCTGGTAAGCTATCTCTATCACATCAAAACTATTTTCTTTCAGGTTTTTACTCTGGATCTTCCAGGGAGGAATTCAAGTACTCGCATTAACAGTTTGACATCCTGATTCATACCACCTAGTAGCTGTGGCAGGGTTGCTACATTCCAATCCTTCCAAAAGTTTTTGGACAGTAAAATTGAAGATGTTTTCTAGCTTCTGCAAGTCAACTGAAAATAACCAATCAAACGATGCTCATGAAGAAAGATGCAAGTTGAAACATCCAATTGATAGCCAAGTCTCGACAGAAAGCATGAAAAAAAAAACATTAAAAAATAGTGGTTGCTAAGATGGAAACAACACAAGTTAATTGCATTTGAATGGAAGTCCTGTGCTTTAAATAGCATCAACATACTTTACATTGTGCCATGATTTTAAGAAACACAAAAATCAAAAATATTGCTAAAAGGTCATCAAAATAAAAGACAAAACATATTTTCAACTAGTAAATAAAATCAAGATGAACCATGACCTTTTTAAAAAAAAAAAAAATTGTTTGGAGCAATTTATATGGTTCAAATATTTGCCATAAGTAGGATCAAACTTTTGTTGCAGGGAGATAACTGAAGATGAGTTGGTCCGGTGAACTTCGTCAGAAGCCAAATAATTTCATTCCAACAAAATAACAGGGGCAATCAACAAAAGCTAGCAAATATGGAAAAGATGAAAATAGTATCAAATAGAAAATAAATTCAAGACAGGAAGCACAGATCAAAAAGAATTCCTAATCACACATGAAAGAAGTTAAAAATACGAGGAAGAATGAAATTTGAGTACTATATAAACTTTTAGGTGTATGATATACCTCCTGCGCACACAGCCCACCATACCAAGGACAATCAACTAAGCATCGCATCAAAATTGGAATCATTGATTAGAGTATGGAGGAGTTCATACAGTTGTGTGTTTGACCACAGAAGCAACAATCATGCGTACAGTTTTGCAGAAAGCCCTGTCTGCAGCATAGCAACTATATAATTTTATGCAACTGCTCAAATCTTTATTTATCACAAATAGAGTGCAGCTTCCCCCCATCTATCATATGAATTACAAAGCCAGAATTGGGAATAATGGAATCACCAGTAGTCGCCACAAGAACATTTGCCTGCACTAAAATGGTGAAACCGATGTGCATCTCTTATAATAATCTCCCTTTTTATTACCTTGGATACAAGCTTTATTGCAGGATGACAATCTCCGCAAATCCTAATATTCTTCTTAATCCTGATGGTTGCCCCAGAAGGTAATTTTAGAAGAGCAAAAGCAAGAGCAAGTTTCTCACTGTGATACTTTAGCTTTGCCTCTTTCTCTTGCTCATCCACATGCATAAGCACATAGTTTATATCTGGAACATAGCCTTCCTCTTTAATCCTGCCATTTATTTTTTCCCACATCTGTTCTATTTCTTTTATTTGGGGGTGACAATTTTCATTTGCCACAAACAAGTGGACAGAGTTTTCAACCTCCACCCAGCTGCAAGCAGGCTCCTTTTTTAAACCACTTTCTCTCATCAACTTCCTAACCTTCGCTGCATCATTCCATCTGCTGGCCGAAGCATAGATGTTGTATAGCAGCAGGCGAGGACCTGCATCATGTGGGTCAAGCTCAAATACACGTTCAGCAACAAGCTTCCCTAGTTCCACATTCTTATGCAATCTACAAGCTCCAAGCAGAGCTCCAAGCCAAGCAGAGCTCCCCAGACAGCGGCAGTTGGCTTGAGAGGCATTTCATCTATGAACTTCCACGCTCGTTCAAGAAGGCCTGCACGTCCAAGCAGATCCACAATGGCCACAAAATGCTCAATTTCAGGCTCCACCATATATTCCTTCATCAAGTTGAAGTAATACTCCCATTCTTTGAGCAAACCACCATGACTGCAAGCATTAAGAATACAGAGAAAAGTTATCTGATTAGGCATAACTCCATGTTTGAGCATCATCTCGAATCGATTAACTGCCTCATGGCCAAGTCCATGCTGTGCACAACCTGTAAGCATAGAATTCCATGAAACAATATCGTTTTTGTCCAACCGACAGAACACCTTTCTTGCATCCTCAATGCTTCCAGCCTTAGCATACATATCTAGAAGCGTATTGCCAACAAAAACATTAAGTTTATGGCCATGCTTTATCATATGGGCATGAACCCATTTCCCTTGCTCTAGAGATCCGTTACTTGCACAAGCACTAAAAATACCAGAATAGGTGAAATGTGTTGCAGGAAAACCAAGCCTCTGCATATCCACAAACATCTTAATGGCACTGTTTAGGTCCTCCTTCCTCGCAAATCCAGCAATTAAGGCATTCCATGACACTTCATTTTTAGTATCTAACCTATCAAATGCTGCAAAAGCTTCCCTCATTTTCCCATGGCGAGTGTACATATCCAGGAGAGAACTTCCAACATAAACATCCAAATCACAGCCAGTTTTGACGCAGGAAGCATGGATCTGCATACCTGTTTCAACCTCAACGGCGGCACCACAAGCATTAAGGAGTGTTGCAAATGTGAAATTATTTGGTTTACATTCTGACCAAAGCATTCTGGGAAACAATGCAAGAGCCTCCTTAGGTTTGTCGTTTTGTGTGTAGCCAGATAATAGTGCAGTCCAGGAAACAACATCCCTAAGAGGCATTTGGTCGAACGCCTTGCGGGCTTCATCCAAGCTGTTGCATTTGCTGTAAAAGTTAATGATGGAGTTCTGGAAGAAAATATCAGATTTAAATTTTGAAGCAAGGAAATGAGAGTGAACCAATCTTCCTTCTTCGAGCTTCTTTAATTGGGTGCAACTCCATAAGAGGTGGGAGTAGATTCCAGTGCTGGGTTCGAGGGAGCCATTGTCTATGAGGTCGAGGACGTGAAGCCCGCTAATAGATTTGTAGCTTCTTCGAAGAAAATCCTTGTCTCGGATAATTATAGAGATATGCTCTTCTCCCCCGGTTTCTGCCAGAGACTCGGATTCTACGACGGAGACGGCAGCGGCGGCGAAAGAGGAAAAAGAATTGGTTTTTGAGAGAAAGGCAGCAGAGGTAGTAGTTATGGTGGCAGATAGTGCAGTAGGATGGAGGAGTAGCTTCTTCATGGCTTCCACTTTCGGCTAAACCTCATTTCTTGCAGAAAAATCAACCCGGAATGGAACTTTAGCGAGGCGCACCGAACTAGAATGAATTTGCTGGGGCTAACTTTGAAGGAACATGTGAATATATTAAGACTACGACCGATTAAATATCTCTTTGATGAACGACAGTTTTCTTGGAACATATCCGGTAGCTCCAAAGAATGAACCACAACGCGAGTACTGATGCATCAGTACTTTAATAGTGGGGTGTCACGTACGTGTCATCTCACCATTGGAATACGTGGCACCCCACCATTGGAGTACTGATGCATCAGTACTCCTGAGGCAATATTTTTTCCCAAAGAATGAATGCGAAAATTTCTCGTTTCAAAATGGAGATCTTCTGACGGGAGTTTTGAAGCAACTTCGCCCTCCTTCAAACCGAAAATTATTCGGTCGTTCTCCGTGTTCGTTTCGAGGACAATGAAATGCCCACACCTAGGACTCACCATTTAAAAAATAAAAAATACAGCGGAGGCCGGATCAGACCCAACTTCCTTCGACGAAAAAAATGTATACTACAGACTTTTCCGCCTATTTCGTCCCATATTCCCAGATTCGAATGAAGCTTCTTAATCTTTAGGGTGACGCATTTTTCATTTGTTATCCTGACGAGTTGCTGCGACGATGGACTCCTCTCTCGACCAAGACATATTGATTATGGATTTTCAAGACAATGGCAATGAGTTTCAGACTGAGGTGAGTTTAGCTTCGCTTGGAATGTGTCCATTATCATGAAGCCATTATTATGTTAAAGGTCAATGGTTTGCGCGGTTATATTTGTGATTTAGGATTATTTAGTCGTGAAATACTTATGGATGTATTAGTGTTTCCTTAGTTCGAATTGAGTATTTTGATGTTATTATGGAGTTATTATGATATTATTAGTGTTATTTGTCCTTAAAAGGTTTCAAGATGGAAGTTCTGAAGGATAATGTTATTTTTACATTATTCTCGTATTATTTTGGGTTTAGTTTGTACTCTCTATGTTTCTAGACAGAAGTTCCCATGAATAGTGTTATTCATGTGTTATTCTGTTATTTTGATGTGGTTATTGTGATGTTATTGTAGTATTATTTGTCCTTTATATGTTTCTAAGAAGTTCTCGAGGATAAAGATACGGATGTGTTATTCTTGTATTGTTGTGGGTTTATTCTGGTATTATTGTGGTTCTTAAGACAGTGTTAACCCTGTTCTATTGTGGTATGATTACGGTAATTCTTTCATTGCTTTGTTAATATTATGCAAATTTTCAGATTGTTGAGTCGGGAAATGCGATCAATGATCCAATTCTGAAGAATTTTCTTCTGAGCATTGTCTACAACTAGCAAGAAGCATATGATAACTATTGTGCCTATGCACTCCTTATTGGGTTCACTGTCCGAAAGGACCACACCAGTTTTTGGCTAAACTTAAAGAAACTTAAGACAAATGACTATTTATGTGGAAAAGATGGCCACAAGAGTGAGTTAAAGATAACTAATACAACGAAGTACAAAAAAGCAGACACAAGGACTTGTTGTCAAGTCATGGTTTGATATGTTATTGATGTTGAGGGTAACTGGACGGTTAAGAATTTTGTTGAAAGTTATAACCACCCCTTGGCAGAAATTGGGGATAAATATCTTTTGTGTTTCAGTAGAAAAATAAGCGAGATAAATGCAGATGTGCTAAAATCCATAACAGGATCAAGGACTAGAGCAAAAGATGCATTTAACTTCATTGCTATAGAGGTTGGGGGAGTAGAGAATATGGAATGTACAAAGCGAGATGCAAATAATTTTATTCAAAGAGATAGAAGAGATAGAATTAAACATAGTGATGCTAATTCTTTAATACAACTGTTCATGGAAAGGCAAGCTGAGGATAACATGTTTTCTTTATACTGCCAAACAGACGAGTAGCAAGTTTTCGAGTAACAAGTTTTTTTTTTGAGTGATGGCATATCCAGGTTTGATTATGACAGTTTTGGGGATGTCATAAATTTTTATATAAGCTACATACTGAATAATTATAATCTATGTTGTGCACCTTTTGTGGGGGTTAACCACCATTGGTAAAATGTTCTCTTTGGAATTGGGTTTTGTCAGACAAGATGATTGATTCTTTCAAGTGGCTATTTAAAGCATTCTTTCGTGTAATGGATGACATTTAATTACAATTTTTACTGATCAGGATCAGGCAATGGCAAGAGCTATCCAAGATTGTCTCCCACATACACGCCATAGATTATGTCAGTGGCATATCTACAAGAAACTTCCATCAAAGGTGCATTGTGGTATTGGCATCAAGAGTGTTAGCAACCTTTGTGACTCTGAGGAAGAGTTCGAAGAAACTTGGTCCATAAAGATTCAGCAAGGAAACCTACACTGTAACATGTGGTTAGATGATTTGTATAATATAAGACATAGGTGGTCTACAGCCTTCAACAAAGACATATTTGGAATGGGGATCCTATCAACACAAAGAAGTGAGTCTGCAAATAATATATGTCATGGTGTATACAAGCCCACAATCTCCCTCACTGAATGTTTTCTAGGCCTTGAAAATGTTATGAAAGCATGGAGAAGAAATGAGAAGGATGAAGACTTCAAAAGTGCTCAGTCTGTTATTACATCTGTGGTTAAAAGCTGTCCATTGTTGAGGCAAGCTGCTTCATTTTATACAAGGAAGCTCTACTCAATATTTGAGGGAGAGTTATTGCATGGTTCATTTGGACTAGCCATCGAAGTCTTCGTAGATAGTGATTCTGAATATTACGTAAGAAATTTGGATAATCAGGGTAGAAACAAACCCTGGATTGTTAATTTTGATAAGATTAATTTTGATATCACATGCAGCTGCAAAAAAATTGAGACGATGGGGTTATTGTGTGCTCACTATCTACGGGTTCTTGATTTCATAAATATAAAAAAGATTCCTGAAAAAAATTTCTCTTATTGCAATGGTCTGTGCATGCGAAGAGGGATATCTATAATAGTGTTGGATACAAACATCTTAAGGAGTCCCAACTGTCCAATGGATCTTCAAGTGGCTTTTTATTTTGCACACATGCTCAGAAGTTTGCCTACCAACTTATTAATAGAGCACAAGGAATTGAATTACTTGAGCAACATATGTTGGAATAATTTAAACAATTATCTATATATTTTGATGTCATATTAGTTGGGAAAGAACCTCAGGCAAAGAATAAGAACAAAAAAATAAATCTTCAAATACAAAGTGCAAATTAAATGACCCCGGGAAGATGAGACCGAAAGGAATCTCCACTTCTAGGTTAAAAGGGTACTAAGGGAAAAATAAGAGAGTAAAAAGTATGAATGTCTACATTAAAAAAATACTAAACCATTTGAGAGTATATCTACATTACTCTATCTTAAACCATTTGAATACAGGAAAGGTGCAAGAAGCTTCAACAAGTCAAGAACCACATATCCCATGTGACACAAATTTGACTGCAATATCAGATAGTCTCAGTTAGGCATGTTTTTGAAATTCCATGCATTTACACGATATATTAAATAAAATATGTTCTTGAGTGTTAATTTTATGGTTCTCTTAAAAAATAAGAATATTTTACACCGCAGCCATCACGAACTTACACTGAAATGTTGATGTAGTCCATTGTTTAACTCTAAGTGCAATATATGTGATATCAATCTTAAAATTCCTTTAAATGGATGTATTATATAATCAAATTATATTGAAAATCTTTAAATACTTTAAGTTTTGTAAATTTGTTGAAGCAGTTTTTGGTTTTATTCTGGTAGTTTTATGGTAATATTACAAAAGTATTGTGGCAATAATTCTTGTGACATTGTGACTGTTTTCTGATATTATTAGATTATTCAGTCGCGCTAAGGGAATATTCCCCCGTGTGATTGAGGTAATATATTGATGTGTGGTTAGATGGAATTATGCAGCTGTAATAAAAGAATATTCCCACGCAATATTGGAATATTTTGCAGTTGGATTGGAATATTCCACAGTTGGATTAGAATATTCTGCGGTTTCATTCTAGCTTTATTAGAGGAGAAAATGTCGTGGTCGGATTGGAATATTCTATCGTGTTATTGAAGCATTATTGGAATCTTCCGCCTTGTTATTGAAGCATTATTGGAATATTACAGAAAAAAAGTTAATATTACAGGAAAAAAAGTTGTTTAAAATAAATAATAATTTTATGAAATATCTAAATAAATTTGAATCAAAAGAAGTTTTTAAAAATAACAAATCAATTTGGATGAGTTCTCCAAGTTAAAATTTAATTCACGGCTAGCTAAACTAAAGCGTAAAATATAAATTTGTTTTAACTATATTTACTTATTACAAAATTCAATTCTTATTGCTAAAAACAGCTAAAAACATAAATAAAATATAAATAAAATTATAAGCATTCCTACTTAAACGTTATACAAATCAAATTAGAATAATGTCAAACTCATGAAGTCTATAGAATTTAAGAATCGTATGTGTCGTTTGAGGCAGTTAATTACATTGGAGCGTCACTAAATCAATTAGTGTACCAATTCCAATTAGAACTGCTCCAACCTGATCAAAATTGAAGCACTAATGTTTGGTATACAACAATTGTGGTATCCAATCCAAGGTTTCAACCTCAAAATAAATAATATATACACATATACAAACACATATACATCAGAATTTTGCTAATTTTAGAGACATAGTCCAGAAACATAGATCATGGGCAAACTCTACCCTAAATTTTGACATATCCGCCTGCCAATCTTTCTCTTCACTTCAGTCACTTTGGTGGACTTGAACTAACTTTTCCATAAACTTGCAATCAAACATGCCACAGTGAACACTATTATTTTGTACAGGGACTCCACCCACGAGTGATAGTGACCAATTGACCAAATTGGCTCTGAACTCATTTCCACCATCTTTTACAAACAATTTGATCTGGCAAATTATCATGTGGAAGTGATTAGTGCATTTAGATAACTGAATAAGAATGAGATATTCTATGAAAAATACTTACAACGTCATAGCACACCCCCTTGTGCATCTTGTTGGGTAACCAATCGTACAACTTCCAT